TGTTTTTTTAATAGATGGAAAGGTGCCTGGAAAGGGGGTGGTGGTGGTGGTTATAAAAAAGCAACAGCTCTCTGAGAATAAAAGCTCTGAAGCAAGTGATGGGTGCTGGGGTGTCAGTCACTGGGACAAGATTCATCTCCAAACCCTGGGGGCCCAGGTGTGTTTTGGAATTGAGAAAGTTTTCAGGTTTTGGAAAGCCCACAGGGGAGCATCTATCAGAGTGACCCCCGCATCAGTGTCAGGGCATCACCTTATAAGCCGACACATAGCTCACACCACCACGAGGGGTGAAGAAAAGTCAGATGCTGTTTCTGCCTCTGACCAAGGCAGATTTTGCAGCTGAGTCACTTCTGGGGCCAACACTACAAGAACAGCCCGAGTTCAAAACTGCAGCTAAGCCCATATATATGTATGTACACGTATATATACACATATATATACTTAAAGGGCTGTTTAAAATGTTTAGAAGGGAACTTTGAAATCTGGAAAGGCTCCTGAAAGATTATTATGGAGTCTAGAACCCAGCAACAAACAGAAAGAAGGGCCAGGAGCCGGGGAGCTGCCCCAGTGTGCGGGGCTCCCTGCTCCCCCAGCAGTCGCCACGCCACATGGGAGGCCCCAGCCTTACCAGGGGTGCCACTCTATCACGGGCATATTCTGGGAATGTTTTTTTTTTTTTGACAACTAATTCAATTTTGGGCCAAATAGAAAGCCTTGGTTTTCAGTCTCCAGCCTGGACAGGAATTAGTGCCGAGAGACGCTTTCCTCAGAGAATGCATAGCTGGAAGATGCCCGAGGCACTGCAGCCTGAAGGCATTTGAAGCCCCAACACTGAGTTTGTGCACACGTGCACGATGAAGTCTGGGGGTCACCTCTGCATCCGCCATCAGATTCTCACAGGTGTACCCACGTACCCCATGGGATTCAGAGCCATTGATGTGAACTCCCACAGCAAACAAGTGGCACAGCAGGGCTGGCCCCTTGTCCCCCCACTCCTGTCTGGGCTCCTGTGGCTGTAGGATGGGTCAGATGGAGAGAAACCCCCAGCCCCAGCAGGCCCTGCACGTCCAGCCCGGCACTTAGTGGGCACTCACCTGTGTGGGCAGCCCGGCCCGGGGCTGGGAGGTCAGAATAGCTCCCTGGGATTGCTGAGGTAGCTGGAATAGATTTGGCGTCGGTAGCAGGCCTGGGGAGACAAGGGGTGGCACAGGGTGAACAGGTGCCTGGCGTAGTTGGGGGGTGGCTGTAAGGCGGGGATGGAGGTTGGGGGTGGTGCCCTACCTGGCTGACTCTGCTGGGCCTGCGGCAGCAGGAACTGAGCAGGTGGCTGGAGATGGTGACCCGGTACAAGCACCAGCTGCTGGAGCTGGAGAAGCTGCTGTATGTCCTGCAGGGAGGAGGGTGGACAGACAGACAGCCTGAGTCCTGGCCTGGCTCCTCCTCTGTATCACCTTAGCCCTGAGGGGTGCTCCAGGGCAGCCAGGCACCTCAGAGGCAACGAGGGAGGGAGCCTGGTGTCTGCAAGGCAGCTCTGAGCTAAGGGCACCCAGGAGGCTTCTTCCAGCACCAGGGCCATGCTTGGAGGGCTGCTCTTTCCTCACATTTTCTTCCTTGATGAAAGATTTGCCCTTTTTTTTTTTTATTCCCATAGAACAAATAGATTCGTTTAAAAATGTAAACAGACTAAGTCTTCCCTCCTTTTAAAACACTCCCAAGGCGAATGATACCATGTCTGGAATTAACTCTAAAACACTCCAGCAAATAGTGGGTGAGTAAATTGGTATGACCTCTTCAGGAAACGCTTGGGCACTGTGATGAGTTAAATTGTGGTCACCCAAAAGGTGTGTTAGAAACTTAACCCCCAAACCTTATTTGGAGATGGGCGTCTTTGCAGATAATCCAGTTAAAAGGGGGGTAAATAGGGTGGGCCCTAACCCAGGAGACAGGTGTTCATATTAATAAGGGAAAATTCTGACACGGACCAGAAACATACAGAAGGAAGTTGCTGGGGAGAGACATGGGAGAAGACAACCATGTGCAAACCCAAGAGAGGCCTGGGACAGATCCCTCTTTCCAGAAACCAACTCGGCCAACACCTAGCAGACACAGCTCCAGCAAACAAATACAGGCTGCTTCCCAGCGCGGAGCAGACACCTGCTTATGACCCGCTGATTCACACCTGAGGATCACCCACTCTCATGCAGACGGGTGTCACCAAGAGACACATGTGCTACAACATTCATGGCAGAACTTTCTAACTTCTATGCCCCAGACACCATGTTCACGACAGAGGTCATCTTGTGTCATCCTGCTGTCCACTCTCATCCAACCAGTGAACAGTCACTTCTGCCCCTGTCCATAAAAAAAGAGACCGCGAACATCTCACAGCTCTGGATGAAAATACCCTCAGGTTAAGACAGACACTCACAGTAAGACAGACACTGTTATAGCTGCCCCGAGAGACTGGTGTTACCTATAAGATCGGCAAAGACGAGCCAGGCCATGTTGTGGGGTGTGGGAAACATTCCCGTGCATGAGAGGGTCCTTTGGCGATGTCTGTGAAATTGCAGATATGCAGATCCTTTGTCTTAGCCATTCTACTTCTGGGAATTTATCTCAGGGATATACTCACACTTGTGCAAGTGACCTCAGCTCTCTAGAAGGATATTCCCACAGCAAGCAGTGTTTTGTTTTTGTTTTTTTAGATTTTATTTATTTATGCATACAGAACTGGGGTATAGGCCAGAGGTGTGGGGGTGGTAAGAGGATTTACCAGAGTGAATCAGAGTGGGAAGCAGAACAGGCCGACTGACGAAGTACACTGCTGAGGGGAGCAGCGGGCGGATCAGGAGAGGTCTGCCGTGCCATGTGGGTCAGCTCCCTGACCAGGGAGCAAACTCGCACTGAAGCAGCCTCAGCCAGCTTCTCAGTGCTGCGCTCCAACCTTCTGCGCCACTGCAAGCAGTGTTTTAGCAAAAATGGTAGAAACCAGCTGGGCTCAAAGCAGTAGAGGCTGAGGGACTGAATGAGGGTGGCGCTTTTTGGTGGAGCACTACACAGTCATCAAAAAGAACCTCTGTGTCTGGATATACAACAATGCCCCAGAATTCCTAGGAGTGGAAAGCTCAGGGGACACAACAGTGGGTTTGAGGAGCTGATGTTCACGGTAAAAAGACATTAGACTGAAGTGGCTGCTAAAGTGTATGTGAACTACATCTGGAAAACTATAAGAAACTGGCATCGCTGTCAATCCTTACATTCCTCTCGAATTTGAAATTTTTCATAGTACAAAGAAAGAAGGTGACATTCAGCGGCCCCACCCTCACCTACCCAGTGAGCAGTCAGTTCTGCCCCTTTCTTGCTTTTGTCTGGGGCAGAGCATGGCCGTTCCCTGTCCAGCTGTGAAGGACTTTGCCTTTGCCTTCCCTGTGTGCTTTGGCGGGGGACAGAGTCCCCCACAGCTCCCCGCCCGTGCAGCTGCCAGTCATCTCAGAGTACAGCTTAAGAGGGCTGAAGAAATAAGGTGCTGCTGGAACCAAGCTGTAAGTAGGACGATTATTCCAAGAAAAGTTTTTTTATTTCTTTGTGAAATGCTGAAAATTATATATATATATATATATATATACATATATATATATATATTAAAGATTTACTTATCTATGCATGCAAGAACTGGGGTATAGGCCAGATTTGTGGGGGTGAGAGGATTCACTAGAGACAGAGTGGGGAGCAGAAGAGGAAGATAAAGTGAAATCCACTGCTGAGGGGAGCAGCGGGCCAGTCAGGAGAGGTCTGCCGCGCCCTGTGGGTCAGCTCCCTGGCCAGGGATTGAACTTGGGCTGCACAGTGCTGCACTTTAACCCTCTGTGCCACCAGGGAGGGCCCTGAAAATTATAATTCAAGAGATCTGCCCCGACTGTACCAGGATGTGGGATTCCCTTGGTGACAAGGACCCACTATTGTTCATGCTGCTGTGGTCTGCTGGTTATATGTATAATAGAGGGAAACGGCATGTTTTTAATTAGAGGATAGTGAAAAATGAAGATGTCATTTTATTGCTCTCTAAGGTCATGGACAGCTCCTGAATTCTGCCCAAAAACCCCTCTAGGGATGGTCTGTGAAACCCTGGTCCCTGTTCTACAATATTCACCCAACCATAAAACCCCCAGGGGCTTCTATCCATCAGGTCCCCCGCCTGCCTCTCCTTCCTCACCTCCCACGACACTCTCCTCCCCTAGCTATGACCAAGCCATACTGGTTTCCCTCCCGTTATAGGACCCAGAAAGAAGCGGCTACCCCAGGGCCTTTGCCGGTGTTGTTCCTGCCGGCCCGGCTTCTTACTCATATTTCACACCTCTGTCAAAAGCCCCCTCATGGAGAGGCCTCCACCTACCCACCCTGACAAAGATCCTCCTTTCCTGTCACTCTTGATCATTACATTTTCCATCATTCATAATCAGCGTCCTGTCTGTCCCCTCAGACTGGATGTCAGACTGCACCCCCAGTGCAGAAAGGGGCCTGGGCAGGGTGGACGGTCACTCAGTGTCCCCTGACTAGAGCAATTCAAGAATGAGAGAGAGAGCAGAGACGTCAGCCGGTAGGAGGCCCCATTTCTCCAGCCTGGAGGCGGCGTTCCTTCTGAGGCCACTAGGGGGCGTGCTGCGACCGAGCCAGAGGCCGGTGGAGTTAGAGGCAGCCAGAGCAGCAGAGAAGGCCCCGGGAAGGGCTATTCAGTGCCTCATCTGCTCTGTCCCTACCCACGGGACAAAGGAGCAGAGGGCTGACGTACCCCACTAAGGCCAAGAAGAGAAGACACCCATTCTTGTTCATCTGTGTCCTCTGAGCACCCCACACCCCAATGCAGGTGTCTAACATGGGATGAAGGACTTTTCCATGAATGAAGGAGTAAAGCCTCAGGGCCAGAGGGTGATATGACACAGGTGGTCCCCATCTCTGGGCTGGGCAGGGAGGGGGAGAAACCCGTGAACATGAACTGGGCTGCCAAAGCTGGCAGCAGTGCTGGCCCAGGTGCAGCGAGCGTCTCACCCTGAGCACAGGGCAGCCTCCCTGCCACACCCCACCACCCGCACCCTCCCCCCACCCCCCCCCCCCCCCCCCCCCCCCCCCCCCCCCCCCCCCCCCCCCCCCCCCCCCACACCTGCTGCAGCAGCCTCCACCACTGGGATGGTGTGAGGTCCACGGGACACTCACTTGCCATCTTTGGAAGGGCAAATTACGGTGAGTTCTGGACACCTGTCCTAAGGCAGCAGCTAGAGTTCAGTCCAGAGTGGAGCGGACAGGCAGGCGGGGTGTGCAACCGTACAAAAAGCTCCAGCACGGTCTGACACAGGGCCAGGCCATTCACGTGCCAGCGGGGCATGGGCTGCCTGGGAAGCCCAGGCAGGGGGAGCCCCCTGGAGGGGAGGCGCCCCAACTGCCCCCACCAGACCGGTGAGCGTGCCAACCCTGGCTGGGGAGGTAGCCTAGAGGGCGCAGGGTGGGTGGGAGTGAGACTCGGGGACGCCAGTTCTCCCTCTGGGCCTCAGCCTGCGTAACGGTGCAGGGGGTGGAGGGCAGGGCGCCACCTGACTGTCCTCGTCCTCTGTGGGCCCTGCACAGCCCCTCACCCTAAGCCTGGCGCTGGTTTCTGCCTTACGGGCGGTGGCACTTGCCCCTGCCTAAGCCCTTTTTGCACCCCTTCACTCCCCGTGGGGCGCTCTCCTACCGTCTTGTCTGACTGACTCGCTCAGGCCTTGGCTCTCCAAGACGGCCTTCTCAGGAAACGCCCCCTGACTGCTCCCCCTGAAACACCTCCCTGTTGCATTCTCTTCATTTACGCCTACTCTGAAACGGTCTCGTTTTGCTGGTTTAATTGTTGACTGTGTGTCTCCCCATGGAAACGTAAGGTCCTCAAGGCCGTCACCTCTGCGTTGTTCACAGCTGTCCCCTGGGGCCCATGAGCGCACACAGGTGCTCATAATAGTTCAATAAACGACCACGGTTGTTCCAGTCACTTCACTAAGGGAAGCTCTAAGGGGGAGGGGAGCCATGGTAGAGGCGCCCTGTTTCCCATTCGGCTCCTTGGTGAAACCCCAGCCCGAGGGGTTGGCCCCACCGCATGGAGCCTAGGAAATCCCAGCCGCTGGGAGAGGGCCCTGGGAAACAACCACTCAGCAGGGAGGACTACCTGGGAGGACAACCTGCACCTGCTCTGCATGCTCAGCTCAAGATACCTCACGCACAAGTCCCAGAGAAGTGAGCAATGAATGGCAGGTCCTGGCCCAGAAATCATGGGCTGACTGGCACACCCAGCCCAGGGGCCTGTAGGTACCCCGGCCACCCACAGCTGGGCTGACAGCCTCAACCCCCGTTTAAACACTAGGACCC